TTTATTAAAAAGCTTTACAGCAGGAACAAAAGGAAGTAAAGCCCACTTGGAAGGAGGTGAAGCGGGCAACTTGGGAGATCAAGTGCATGGCTTGACCTTGACTTAGGGTTTTATATGTTGGCATACTTCCAGGGTCCCTTCTCCCTGATTCTTCCCTTGGAGTGGGCTGTCTGCATGGACAGTGGCCTGCTAGTGCTTGGGAGGGGCCACATGCATGGTATGTTTACTGGAGTTGTACGCATGCTCCCTTGAGGCATTCTCCCCTTACCAGGGAGTCTTGTTATAAGGTTATTAACCAGTTAACGCTGCCATTTCCCCTCTTAGTCTCCATGCATGAGCCCACTTGCCCAACTCCTGAGATCTTATCAGTTTCAGGTTTTTCTATTTATTGGGAGACTGTTTTTTCCTGGCACGGGCTGTGACCAATTATTATTTTAGAGACAGCTTAACAACTGCCTATCACCTGATGGTTGCCTGTCATTCCTGGTGGGGAAGGAGGCCCTTTCCTGCCCTGCTCGTGTCTGACTAACTACTGTAGCCCAAGTTTTTAAAGGCAGGGGTAAGGCAGTGTGCAGTGGCTCACACCTGTAATCCCAGCACTTTGAGAGGCTGAGGCAGGAAGATCACTTGAACCCAGGAGTTCAAGAACAGCCTGGGCAACAAAGTGAGACCGCAACTCTACAAGAAATCAAAAAATTAGCCAAACATGGTGGCACATGCCTGTACTCCCAGCCACTCAGAAGGCTGAGGTGAGAGGATCCCTTGGGCCCAGGAGGTTGAGGCTGCACTGAGCCGTGATTGTGCCACTGCACTCCAACCTGGACAACATGGCAAGACCCTGTCTCAAAAAACAGAAAACAAAACAAAACAAAAGACAGGGGTAAACTTCAGAAAAGCAGAAGCTACAAGGAACCTTGTAAATCGATGCATGGAGGTTCCACATTTTTTTTTTTTTGAGATGGAGTCTCACTCTGTCACCCAGGTTGGAGTGCAGTGGTGCGATCTTGGCTCACTGCAAGCTCTGCCTCCCAGGATCAGGCCATTCTCCTGCCTCAGCCTCCCGAGTAGCTGGGACTACAGGCTCCCGCCACCAGGCCTGGTTAATTTTTTTTTTTTTTTTTTGTATTTTCAGTAGAGACAGGGTTTCACTGTGTTAGCCAGGATGGTCTTGATCTCCTGACCTCATTATCTGCCCACATCGACGTCCCAAAGTGCTGGGATTACAGGCGTAAGCCACCGCGCCTGGCTTCCACATTGGTTTTGATCTAAAGGATGGGATATCTTGAATCGGGCTTACAGGCTATAGATAGATGCAGAGATTTTTCTGGTCAGGTATGGTGGGTCATGCCTGTAATCCCAGCACTTTGGGAGGCCAAGGAGAGAGGCTCCTTTAAGACCAAGAGTTTGAGACCAGCCTGGGAAACATAACAAGACCCTGTATCTACATGTACAAAACTTTTTTAAATTAGAGGCTGAGGCAGGAGAACTGCTTGAGCCTGGGAGGTTGAGCTGCAGTGAGCTACGATTGCAACTGCATTCCGGCTTGGGTAACGGAGCAAAAGCCTGTCTCAAAAAAGCAAAAACAAAGAAAGTCCCAAAATTTGCAGCTGGTTAAGGAAGAGAAGCTTTATTTAAAAATTTGGGGTCCAGTAGAAAAATGTTAACTGGCTAGGAGGTGTTACTTTCTCCAAGCCCCTCAGGAAGAAACTTAGAACAAAGAATGACGGTTAAAGTTCAGTCATCATTTTCCTGTCCTCTGAGGTCTATGCCATCAGATCCATTTGGTGGGGTTCCGGGTTTCTGAGACAACTCAGAGACATATGTTAAGATGTTATCTTTAGTTTCTATGAGGAAATCAAACCTAGTCCGAATGCTTAACTTCCTTGGCTATTGTCTTAGGCTGCTATTACCTTCTTGCTTATCAAGTTGCTACTTATTTCTCAGAGCTAGCTAGGTGCCTGGAATTTTCCTTGAAGAAACTCAGGATTTTGCTTTATTTCCATGCTTGGGGGTTCACAGGCCCCTAAAAAGGGGGTCTCTGCATCTCATTTCCACACAGTCAGCAAATATTTTTTATTAATTTTGTTTACTCTTCTGTGGTTCAAACCTCTAAGAGGATGTCTATCATCACTGCCGCTCCAAGCACTCACACACTTTTTTCTTCAATTCTGTATTCCTGTAGACTCTTATTTGCTCCAATTCAGTTGTGTAACTGTCATGCATGCTGGAACTATGTGTCTGACCATCCCTATTTTCGTTGGACATTGTGGGGGTTGTGACTGAGTAACCTTATATTGGATTTTCTCACAGAGTATCCAATAGATGACTATTACATGGAAACTGAATGAATTTGGGATAAGAGATGTTAGTCTTAAGGCCTATGTTAAACCATTTATTCAACAAAGCAGATTCTTTTAGACTGCTTTATTTAATTCTCTGTTGCACTTTCTGTAGAGTCTGTCTAGAAATGATTTTACTATACACAAACATTATAGCCTCTGGCTGTAGGGAACTGATAAACAGGAGAAAAGTATAGACATTTCTAGGTGCCAGTAAGAGAAATAAGATAGAGGGGGTCATAAAAAAAGGTCTTACTACAGTGATTTGAAAAGTGGAATTAAGGTTAGCCTTACCTATCGGGCTGAGATTATGATATGATTATTTGAGACGGAGTCTCGCTGTGTCGCCCAGGCTGGAGTTCAGTGGCATAATCTCGGCTCACTGCAACCTCCGCCTCCCAGGTTCTCCTGCCTCAGCCTCCTAAGTAGCTGGGATTACAGGCGTGTGCCACCACGCCCAGCTAGGTTATTTTGTTTTTGTTTTTGTTTTTTGTATTTTCAGTAGAGACGGGGTTTCACCATGTTGGTCAGGCTGGTCCCGAACTCCAGACCTTATGATTGCCTGCCTTGGCCTCCCAAAGTTTATAGGATTATAGGCGTGAGCCACCGTGCCTGGCTGATTAGGATTATTAAATATAAAATGGGGGCTCTACATTAAGATTAGGATATGCTCTAATGAGGTCAAGGAGACAATAAGATTAACACAAGGATGGCTAGGATAAAGATTAGGATTATAAAAGAATTAATATTGTTGTTCTGTGCCAATGCCAGGCTAAATGTTGAATCAAAATCATTTTATGTTGGAACTAGAAATAAAACTAAGATTTTCCTTTTTCTTATTTTATCAGTGTGTACTCAAAGGGAATTTGGTATTGCTGCCCTTGCCAGGGAAAAGCTGGGAGACAGCATCTGTGGGATTAGAACCCCAGAACCTTTTAGATATTCTCTTTGGAGAGTAGGATTCATTCATTCATTCATTCATTCATTCATACATTTATAAAACTGGGTGCCAGTTTTATGCAAAATTCTGGTCCTTGCCTTCTGAGAGCCTGAAATCTAGTGGGTGAACTAAGCCAGAAACACATACACAATGAACTGTAACACAACTTTTTCCAAAAGTTTTATTGTTCTATTGTTTCTTATGCTTTGAAGTATTTGAAAAACTCTTATTTTAAGGAAGCAAAACCCCTTCGGCTGGGGGATCATTTAGATATAGTTTTAGATTAAAATGATTTCCTCAAAGCTTGTTGAGAAGTTGAAGCTTTTCACCTGGGCTCGGGAGGCATTATTTGTACCAAAAGGCAAGGTTAAGAGCATGGAGTCTGGAGCCAGTTTTCCTGGGTTCAAATCCTGGCTTGCACATTTTCAATTGGTAACATAAATTCTGTGTTTTAGTTTTTACCTCTGAAAAAGAATAATAATATTATCTGTTTCATAGTGTTGTTATAAGGATTAAATGAGTCAATATGTGTAAATTACAGGCGGTTCCTGACTTTGACCATTTTTTGACTTTACGATGATGCAAAAGAAGTACATTCAGTGGAAACCGTACTTTGAGTACCAATATAACCATTCTGTTTTTCACTTTCAGTACAGTATTCAGCAAATTACATGAGCTATTCAAAACTTTATTATAAAATAGACTTTGTGTTGAGGATTTTGCTGAACTGCAGGCTAATGTAAGTGTTCTGAGTATGTTTAAGGTAGGCGAGGCTAAGCTATGATGTTGATAGGTTAGGTGTATGAAATGCATATTCAACTTACAATATTTTCAGTATATGATAGGTTTATCGGGAGGTAACATCATCATAAGTCAAGGAGCATCTGTTCTTTAAGTGTTACTTGGGTTATCATAACGATTACATAAATGCTTTGTAGTATCATAACAATACCTATGTCTTTGAGCAAAGTACAGTTCGGATGACCCTGGAGCAGAAGTCTGGGATGTCACATGCAATACCATATTTGGCCGGTAGATGACACCAAGGTCCACAATGTCGAAATTGTGCCAGCCGAAACATTAAGATATTTTTGTGTCTTTCTAGCTGATCCTTTATCTGCGATTTGTGGGCATTGTAAGAGAAGAAATAGGACTAAAGAAGCTAATTTACATTATTAAAGCTAATCTACAAATTTCCTTTGTAAGGCTCAAGCCTGAAATACTGAGATATTTGATTATGGTGTGAAAGCAACAGTGTGTATTTGAGAGTTGCCTGACTGAAAATTATGGGGCCTGGATTTTAGTTCTGATGCTGTGGACGCTGTGTGTTCCTGGGTGAGTTTCTGAACTTAACTGGGTTTCAGCTTCCCCTTCTCTTTTGCTGTTATTTGAGGAATAAAATAGAATGAGAATGCAAAACAGACATATAACGAAGTGGAAAAACATGAGGGAGAAGCAAAGAAGATATGGTAGGAATTAGAATTGGAGGTGAAGGAATAGTGGGCATACGGCAAGGGGGGGGAATTAAAAATGGAAATGATAAAGGTAGGAACATGACTATGGAGGCGAAGACAAAATAGAAAAATATAAAATATTATACTTAATGCCTATAATTTGTCACATAAAGATACCTGCCTTTACTACATTTCAGATGCTGTGTCTTGCACGCATACACACAGACATGTGGCTTTCATCCATTCTCGCAATGTAATGGGTGTGAGGAAGGCAGAGGGGCAGGGAACTCAAACTTTCTGATAAAAGCACATGGAATCTCCTCTCTTTTAAAGCACATTAAGCAGCTCTCCCTCAGCTTTGTGTGAGCCCCGTTTCCTTCCCCAGCAATCTCCTGAATGCCCTGGTTACCTCCTTGTTCCTCAGGGTGTATATGAGAGGGTTCAGTGAAGGAGTGCCCACTGCATAGAAGAGACCAAAGAACTTGCCCCTCTCTTGGGCATAGGGATTTTTGGGCTGGAGGTAAACAGCAATGACTGAGCTGTAGAAGAGGGTGACCACAGCGAGATGGGAGGAGCAGGTCCCAAAAGCTTTCCTCCGCCCTTTTGCAGAGTTAATCCTCAGCACTGCCCGGGTAATGGCTCCATAAGAGACAAGGATGAGGCTGAGAGGCACAACCAAGATGAAGACACTGGCAACAGCCATCTGGATCTCATTGTAGGAGGTGTCCCCACAGGAGAGTCGAATTAGAGCTGGGACCTCACAGACAAAATCATCCACTTGCCGATGGGGGCAGAAGGGCAGGCGCAGGGTGGATGGTGTCTGGACCACTGACTCCACCAGCCCAATGACCCAGGCCACAGATGCCAGCTGCCAGCACAGGCGGGGGTGGATGATGGTGGCATAATGGAGAGGCTGGCAGACAGCCACGTAGCGATCAAAAGCCATCACTGTCAAGAGGATGCACTCAGTGGTCCCCAGGGACAGGAAGATGAAGAGCTGGACAGAGCAGCCCAGGAAGCTGATGGTCTTCTTTGGGCCCCAGAGGTTAACCAGCATCTGGGGGACACAAGTCGTGGTGAAGCAGAGGTCCAAGAAGGAGAGGTTGGAGAGGAAAAAGTACATTGGAGAGTGGAGCCTGGGGTCCAGCACAGACAGCAGGATGATGAGTGTGTTGCCCACCAGGGTTAGGAGGTAGGAAGTGAAGACAACCACAAAGAGAGTCCTTTCCAGTGCTGGGTGTTCAGAGAAGCCCAGAAGGAGGAAGCCCATGGGGGAGCTTTGGTTAACCATGGCCTGTTCTTGTTTGTACCTGGAAGGATGAGGCTGTCGCCCCAGTGTGATTCAACTTGTCTTATCAAAACTCAGCCTGGGTGTTTGTGAGGTCACAGCAGGTGGGTGTTTCTCTTCTGTCTCTGCTCACCCAGCCTCCATTTCCCAGGCTCATCACCATCCAGCAGCTCCTTCTCGTTCCCTGTTCTTTCTGGTCAAACATTGCCTAGTGAGAATGAGGAAACCATGAATGTACTGGACAGCGGATGGAGACTCATACTGGTGCCTCTGACTTCCTGGGTGAGGGCAGAGGAGGCTGATTTAAAATATGCATTAATTAATTCATTCATTCAAGGGAAACTTACTGAGTGCCACTATGTTCTGAATGCTGTTCTAGAGTTATCTCTTATTTATTGGATGATCTCGTAATGTATATTGAATGAATTTTCTGATAAGTGATCTCTGTAGGCTCAATTATTGCTCTATTGGTTGAATGAATTTTATAGAACTCTGTATATTCCATTTGTTTTGTATTTTTTCATTTGCAAGTGAGCTTATCAGAGACAGTGTTTTATCTAAGAGAGATTTTGTTTTGTTTTAAGATGTCCCCCTCCAGCCTGGGTGAGAGAGCGAGACTCCGTCTCAAAAAAAAAAAAAAAAAAAAAAAAAAAAAAAAGATGTCCCCACTTGCAGAGAGACCAGGTTGGTTGCCCCGGCCTTTTTAGCAACCTAAGTTGCTGAACCAACTGACCTGAAGGGAGGGGTGGAAATTGGTCCACGTGCTTCGTCCTTGCCATGAGTAGCTTACAAGTAGGAGGCGAGAGTGACCACAAGCATGTTAAAATCACCAGGAGTTCACAGGAACATTATCGAAAGACTCCAAGAGTCACTCTCCTTAAATCCTGTAGTCTTTCAGACACCACCAAAAAAAGAATCCAAATTTTAAAGGCCAGTAACAGCAATGTACTGGGTGAATGAGAGTAAAGGTTCTGTAGGATGACTGACCTATTTGGTCGGATATGTCAGGGAAAGCTTCCTAGAGGAGGTGGCTGGGTTTTTTCCTTAAAATAGAGATGTATTGGGGCATAGAAGGTCAGCTGAGAGCTGGAGGTGGGAGACTGAAGCCACTCTGGCAGGTCAGAGACAAGGACTCAGGGTCTTACAGGACCTTAGGAAGGCCATGAGGGGAGCAGAGGAGATGGTGGGCCGCCCACAAACGTGCCGTGGAGCTCAGAGGATGGCAGGAGTGTCTTCCTCTTACAGGGTCTCCACCTTGTATTAAGTTCTATCACATCTCCCTTTTTGCCAGGACTCACTGCCATTGTCTCTTCTTCCTCTTTCTCCCATTATTCTTTTCTTGCTTAAAAAATATTTTTAATTTTTAAAATATTGTTACATATTTAAACATAAGTATGAGTAAGGCAAATTGCAGTTTAAAGAATAATAATGTTAGGGCGGGGCGCGTAATCCCAGCACTTTGGGAGGCCGAGGCGGGTGGATCACGAGGTCAACAGTTCAAGACCAGCCTGACCAACATAGTGAAACCCTGTCTCTACTGAAAATACAAAAAAATTAGCTGGGCATGGTGGAGGGTGCCTGTAATCCCAGCTACTTGGGAGGCTGAGGCAAGAGAATCTTGAAACTGGAAGGCGGAGGTTGCAGTGAGCCGAGATTGTGCCACTGCACTCTAGCCTGGGCAGCGAGAGCAAAATTCTGTCTAAAAAAAAAAAAAAAAAAAAGAAGAAGAACGTCAACCCCTGGTATGCCCATCAAGCAGATTAAGGAACTGAGCAAATGTTTCAAGTATTTTAGAAGCTCCTGTGTGCCCCTCCCTGCTCTCTCAATTCCTCACCCCTCAAGACATCACCACTATTCTGTTTTTTTTTTTAGATGGAGTCACATTCTGTAGCCCAGGCTGGAGTGCAATGGTGTGATCTCTGCTCACTGCAACCTCCACCTCCAGGGCTCAAGCTATTCTCCTGCCTCAGCCTCGCAAGTAGCAGGGATTACAGGCACTCATGACCATGCTCAGCTAATTTTTGTATTTTTAGTAGAGATGGGTTTTTGCCGTGTTGGTCAGGCTGGTCTCAGACTCCTGACCTCAGGTGATCTGTCCGCATCAGCTGCCCAAAGTGCTGGGATTACAGACATGAGCCACCGTGCCTGGCCTCTAAAATTTTAATTATGCCTTCACTTTCATTTTTTAAGGTGTATTTCACATACCATAAAATTTGCCCTTTTGAAGTGTGTAATTTAGTGGTTTAAAGTATATTCACAAGTTGTGCAACCAACATAATTTACTTCCAGAACATTTCATCACCCCCAAAAGAAACCTCATGCTCATTAGCTGCCGCCCCCCTCCTTTGTTTCCTTTGTAATATAAAATTCTTTGCATGTAACCTTAAACAATAGCCAACTGTTTCTTATTCATCCATCATGTGTCATCCTAATTAATTTTCTACATTTCTAACTTTGTCATTATCTTGGCATTTTACTCCTTTCCTTTCTCTGCTATATTGCTGAATCTCTTTAGATTACACCTTTCTTAGTGACTCTTTGTTTCCCTTTCCCTCTTTGATCTCTGTCTTTTCCACTCTCATTATTTTTCTCCTACTCCTTTTCCTTCTGATATATTCATGCATTGGTCTGTGCATTTATTCATTTATCAAACTCCAAAGTGCCAGCATTGTGTTAGGAGCTGGGGAAGGAGTTGGGAGGTCCCTTGAAAGGGGTTTATGATAGGCTAGTGACCATGACCTACCCTTGCTGTTAGTAAGGTGCTTCCTGTGTGCCAAGCATGGTGATAAACAACTCCCTGAACATCTGGTTCTCACAGTGACCCTACAAAGACATATAATTATCCCAATTTTACCAAAAAGTGAACAGTCACAGACAAGATAAGAGACTTGTATAAGGTTACCTAGCCAATAAGTGCTAGGACTAGGATTTTAGAGTACATTTAACTCCAAATCTGGTGCTCCAGTGTTGAGGATAGGTGGAAACTGATATCTCAGAGCCAAAGAGCAAAGGTTCTACTTACCTTCAATCAAATAAAAATCTCTTCTGCTACCAGCAATACCCATAACAGAGCTCTTAATTAGCACCCAGCCTCCACTTGTACATCAGGAAGAAACAAAAAAAAAAAAAAAATAAAGAAAGAGGAATGGGCATCCTTGAATGGGCAACTGCATCTCTGGTCACAATAGGGATTGCTAATGTTGGCCATCTGGCACTTTTCTAAGCACACATGTGTGTGATGAGCTGGAGCTGGCTGAGACTATCTCTTGATTAGTAAAATTTAGGAATTTTGTGAGATTAAACCATCGGTGGCTTGAGACAGCCATGGCAGGAATATTTACACTATGAAAATTGGCAAACACTACAAATTAGGGCTCTCCCCATCTGCCACCAACCAAGATATTTATTAAACATTTAGCCTACACTGCTGATTGTCCTTCACAACTCTACATATTATTCTCTTCCTTCCAATATGAAGAAGTTGAAACAAAGAAATGTAAATAACTTTCCCAAGGCAGTAAGTAAGCACCAGAGCTGATGGTTGAACCCAAATCTGCTAACTGTAGAGGGTGTGCACCAACCAAAGCCCACCAAGTCTCTGCAGGGAGGATGAGGCCAAGGTCAGAACTTTGCCATTGAGTTCTTTGACATCGAGTTCTTTGCCAACAATTTTTCCCCTCCGTCTAAGGAGAGGTATGCCCGTGTTTTAGTGGCATTGGAGGTAGAAATGTTGACATGGTATGGTGGTAGAGAGAGGGATCCCACGGAGGGAAAGAGCTCATTAATTCTGCTGAGACCCTAGGGTCCATAGCCCATAGACAATTCATTAGCCACTAATTATGGTAAAGGGGGCAGGGGAATATCTATAGGAAATATGCCAACAATAGTCATCACTGTGGTAGGTAAAAGAGGTCCCTCACTGCTTCTTTCTGTCAATAGGAAGAAAAAGGACAGTGTCTCTCTTCCCCACCACATCCAGTGAGTCCTGGGCATCCTGATAGTCCTCTCAAGCTTATGATTCATCCATTCAGAACCTCAGTTTTTTAAGTTCTCAGCTTCCTCCTTTTCTATTTAATTCTTCTGCGATGGATCACATTGTAGTAACAGAATTATAAAGCTCTGGATGTGGAGAGTACTTAGGACATTTAGCCAGGCTTCATATAACTGAATTGTTATGCTTCTCTTCCATTAGAAAGGAAGCCTATGGGGTCAGCTAATAAATGGCATGTACTACGTCCATGGATCTACTCAGTAGTCATTTCTGTGGCCTTTAAATCTGTAACTGGAATGCACATGCTTGGCAGTTGGCAGAATCCCCACATAGTTCTTTAATCTGTGGAGTAAGAACTACAGATTCAAGTGGAAGACCTGAATCTACACCTCTTACCACAAAGACAGTAAATCAAGAACAATATCACAATTCAAGGGAAATGGCTGATTGATGCCACCTTTAATGGATGTGAGGGTTCATTCCTATCATATTTCACATTTAATTCACCTGTCTGGTCACTACAAAAATCAGAGGCATCTTGAAAGGTGACCAGACTAGCACAAACCCAACCAGGAAATAGCTGTAATTGCAGCTGTTGTGCCTGATTAACACGGTTTCAGGTCCATGTTTTATAGCTATTAATCTGTTGAATAGTGTGTTCTTTTCTTTTCTTTTTGAGATGGAATCTCACTTTGTTGTCCAGGCTGGAGTGCAATGGCGCGATCTTGGCTCTCTGCAACCTCTGCCTCCCGAGTTCAAGCAATTCTCCTGCCTCAGCCTCCTGAGTAGCTGGGACTGCAGGCGAACGCCACCACGCCCGGCTAATTTTTGCATTTTTAGTAGAGGGTTTCACCATATTGTCCAGCTGGTCTAACTCCTGACCTTGTGATCTGCCTGCCTCGGCCTCCCAAAGTGCTGGGATTACAGACGTGAGCCACTGCTCCTGGATGAATGTGTTCTTTTCAAATACTATCAGGAAGAAAGACCAAAGGCAGTTTGAATTTACAGGGTATGAATATAAGTGTACATTTACATTTACATTT